GACCCCCCTCTTAATTCATCCTGACCAAACTGGTTTCATAAAAGGTCGGCACTCCTCAACAAACACTCGTAGATTACTTAATTTAATAGACTACTCATATGATAAAAACATCGAAACCATAAATTGTCACGGTCTGGCTGGCAGACCGTGGGGAGATGGGGAAATAGGACCCAAACGCCGGACTCTTCAGTGCAACAGTGTTTATTTACAAGGTGGTGAAAATAAACAACAATAAATCCCCAGTTTCCCAGACTCCCGTGACCCCCCTCTTAATTCATCCTGACCAAACTGGTTTCATAAAAGGTCGGCACTCCTCAACAAACACTCGTAGATTACTTAATTTAATAGACTACTCATACGATAAAAACATCGAAACCATAATATTATCTCTAGATGCAGAAAAAGCATTTGACAGAGTTAATTGGAAATTTTTATTCGCAACTTTACACAAATTTGGTTTTGGAAACTCTTTCATAAACTGGATAAGAATATTATACAATTCCCCAACAGCTCGTATCAGAACAAATGACCAGACATCCTCCAGCTTCTGTCTCCTGAGGGGCACCAGACAGGGATGCCCACTCTCCCCTTCACTTTTTGCAATTTTTATCGAACCTCTAGCAGCAGCATTTAGACAGGCTACAACAATTAAGGGCATAAAATGTAAGAACATAGAACATAAAATCAGTCTCTATGCGGATGATGTGTTGCTTTTTCTGCAAAACACACAAACCAACCTCTCTGAGGTAATTACTTTAATAAACTGGTTTTCAAGAGTTTCAGATTATTCAATTAACTGGCCAAAATCTACAGTTCTCCCCATTAACTGCTCCTTCCATAATTCTTCCTCTGCCCCACTGCAATCCGGAAATATTAAATATTTAGGTATTAATGTCTCTCCTAAGCTTTCAGACTTAACTAAATTAAACCACATCCCACTTCTAAAGAAAGTAGAAGGCGATCTGACTAGATGGAAATCTTTACCCATATCACTCATGGGAAGGGTCGCCACTATAAAAATGATGATCTTGCCAAAAATAAATTACTTATTTTTGATGATCCCTAACAAACCATCACAAGATTGGTTCAGATCTCTGGATTCATATATTTCCAAATTCCTTTGGAAAGATAAACCCCCGCGTATAGCTTAAAAACGCTACAAAGAACCAAGGATAGAGGAGGATTAGATCTGCCTAATTTTCACCAATACTTCTTAGCCAACAGGCTTCAGTTCATCTCAGAATGGTTAAAACATACCTTCTTAGTTGAGCCCTGGCTAGATGTTGAACAGGCACTATGCAAGGATCTAGAGATTTCAGACCTACCATTTATTAGCTCAAACATCAAAAGACATGAATGCTTTAAAAGTATCAACATCAGCTTTTCTCTACAGCATGGTGGGAGTTTCTAAAAATAACGGAGTCTTCATTAATCCCATGCAAACGTACACCTATCTGGAATAACCCTGACATATTACAAAACAATAATATGATTAATTTCCCAGAATGGAGTTGTAAAGGAATTAAATACTTAGAACATATATTAGAGGGAACAGAATTTATTCCATTTGACAGACTAGTTGAACAATATGGGATCAACAAGACAAGGTTTTTAGAATATCAACAAATTAAATCCATAGTAAAAAAGAAATTTAACCTCAGTCAAGTTGAATTACAAACACCACTAAGTGCGGCACATTTTCTTACTCTTAAATCCCCCAAATTATTATCTAAAATATACAGAACACTTTCTAAATTAGATGAATCAATATCCCTTCCTATTGCAAAGTGGGAAGCAGATTTATCAGTCACTAGACCAAAACTTCTGGTCTCAGATTTGCTTAAAAACCTTTAAATTAATTAAAAATCCCAGTCTGCAATTAATACAATACAAAATACTACATAGAGTGCACTATACAGGTCATCGGATGTTCAAGATGGGCTTTACATCTTCCAACAACTGCTCACACTGTCAAGGCAATACACCAGACAATTACATCCACGCTCTTTGGTTCTGTCCACCAGTTCAAAAGTTTTGGCGCGAGATATGTGAAGACTTATCAAAGTGTCTGAAATGTAACATTCCAACTTCCCCCTTAGTGTGTTTGTTGGGCAGCTTAGATAATGTCACTTCAGAAAAGAATATAGCCCATATGGTCTTCACTGCCCTATGCATAGCCAAGAAAACAGTCCTCATGAACTGGAAAAATAAAAATAATCTTAATTCTAACCAATATAGAAATTATCTATTAGATTACATTAGTCTTGATACAGCCTCTGCCACCACATCAGATCAATTGCTCTGGGCTCCTTTATCAGCTCCATCACCTAGTGGGGGTGGGGGGTCATAGTTTGGTCCCGCCTTCACTGTTGTGATTGGTGTGGGGGTAGGGACAGGCTTAGGGCGTCGGGGGGTTCCCCGGAGGCATCTTCCTTGGGGGGCTCAACCCGGGGTAGCGGTCACGTCCGGTTAGGGGCTCTGTTGGCTCTCAGGTGACTGTTTCCTCGCGGCTGCGTGCAGCGGGGCTAGGGGAGGGTCTGTGCTGACGGACGTGGGTTACTGACCTGGACCTGGCTGCCCCTGGGTGGGTCCGGGATGGGCGTGAGGTTCTGGGGGCGCTCCGTCTCTGGGCTGGGGCCCGGGCCGGGCCTCGGGGGCTTGCTGTCTCTACTTGCTATAGTTTCACAATTGTATATTTCAATGAGTTGATTGTTTTACTACCCAATTTTTTTTCTGTTTGCATTCCAGCTCCTTCTCTCTTCTTGTTTTTTCTCGGATGCCATTTCTGCTCCACTCCACCCCCAGCTGAGCCCTCACCCGCTCCCTCCCTTGTCGTTCATCTTCTGGCCATTCCTGCACTGACACCCTCCCTCCCTCGTCTCTCTTTCACCATACGATACTCCTCTGTTGACATGGCCGTCCATGAGTTGCTATAGCAACCAGACATTTCTGCTGACCCTTACCTTGCTTTGCATGACAGAGCTGCAGGACGTGCAGTCATAGGGTGAGGATTATCGGTTCGGTCTGATTTATTGGCGCATGCACACAGCTGAACATGCACGTGAACGTGCACTTGTATTAGGCATGCGTTCACCTCCATTTAGAGACTCATGCATGCATGAACAGTCAAGTGAAAACAAAATATTCATTCAATATTTTTATTTTATATTAAAAATAACATTCATTACAGTAACAGTTGTACAACCAATAATTATAATCTGAAACAACAATAATTACACTTGAGAACCAGAGGATTTCACATCCCCCCTTTTTTTAAATAAGTTAAGAAATAAAGTTTTTCTTTTTTCCCCGTGGAGATCATTTTCTAAAAGCATTTATACAATACAGTGTTGGCTATAACTGGCTCACAGCGATCTCTAACAGGCCAGGTCTTTAAGACTTGCTTTAATGTGGATATTCATAGCAGGTTATCTAAGCAGGCATTTAGCTGTTATTCCATTCCATTTTGATCTGGCAGTAGTACAAAATGAGCAGGTTATCGATATTTTCCAGTATATTTAGCTACAGTACACGGTAGAGCACTTCTCTAAAGTCAGTGTTGTATGGTCAGTGTACGGCTACTCCAGTGTTAGATAACTTTAGACATTTTAGGATAAGAGTAAGGTTTGGCATTGAGGCCTGAGCTGCACTCTGCAGTTTCCAGTTATCACCCCAGTGTAAAAATCCAGTTCTCCACGTCTCCAGTCTCAAATCGAGACCCAAACACTTAACTTCCAAGTCCAAGTCGGGTTCTCCATCTGATGAACCACAAGGTTGAAGTGAAAGGTGTTACAGTCGCCAATCAATGGCTGCAAACTGCAAAAAGAGTCGACTCTGTTTCAGCACCTCACACACTTCCACTCATCAGTCCAGATCAGCTGGACTTGTGGTTCAACCAAATAAAATCCAGTGTGTCAAACACCCTCTGGTCCACAGAGTTCATATGATTGCACTTTTATAAAATCCTTAACGCTGGATGGGCCGCGGCATCTCTGGAGCAGGTGACTCCGTGTGAAGCCGTCCATTGAAAACAGCAGCACTGTTTGCACCCTCAGCTCTGTCCACACAGTCCGGACTGTCCAACGTTTAAGAAACCCATTCTTCTGGTGTTTCCACATTCCTTTGGAGCAATGTTTCTGGCTGAAATCTTCCTGTTAGAAAGGCGAAAGAAAAGTCGGATAAGTCACATACGTTCACTGTCAGCTTTTTGTCTACACTGATATAATATTTACCTAATAACCCTTGGGTTACAGGGTATGTTGCATATCCCTACATAATAGGTTTGCCCTTACTTTTACCAAATTTATGTTTTGTTGTTTCTGCGTATTAGCTTTTGAAGCCTGCTGCTGATTCAAGATTCTTTATTTGTCACATGCATAGTTATACAAGTATAACACGCAGCGAAATGTAATACTTGAATCTTGAATCTTGAATTTAAATGCTGGCTGCCACAAAACTTTGAAGACTAAATATGGACAAATTCCTGTATTACTAATTACTGACAGAACCCAGCAGTGGCAGATGGATTTCAGAATTTTTACATTTAGCGTTTTATCGAACAAAATATTAACACTAGTAATTAAAATAATGGCTCAATTAGTCTTGAAGACGTTTCACGTTTCATCCGAGAAGCTTCTTCAGTTCAGGGTCAAATGGTGGAGAGACCCAGATTTAACCCCTGTGGGAGTATCCCCCAGAGGGGGAATAGGACCCCCTAATGATCCTCTACTAATCACATGAGCAAGGTGGGTACTCCCACAGGTTAAATCTGGTCTCTCCACCATTTGACCCTCAGAACTGAAGAAGCTTCTCGGATGAGAGGTGAAACGTCTTCAAGCAACTTTAAAGAAGTCCAGACGCTTTTCTTTCCAAGCTCCTTAGACTACGATGACCTGGATGACTGAGAACCTTCACAGACAATGGCTCAATTATTTTATCAGCGATCCCAGCATCCATTCAGCATCCATTTAAGACTTCCAAGTACCAGTGCACAGATTACCACCCTCACGTTAAACAATATTGTCCCCTCTACAAAGCTTTATATTCACCTCTCTCTTAACCCTTAACCCTGTCTGTCTCCTTGATCTTACCTTGCAGGTTTACATGATCATAGCTCTAATGGCTGCTTTGCTGATGCGTTTGCGGTTCTTCCTCCTGCGGCGTGGTGAAGCGGGACGAAACGGAGCTTTACGGGCTGAAGGCGAAATGGGAGCCGCCGTAGAGGAAGCTGGAAGAGATAAAACAGGCAGTAGAAACAGAATGAGTCAACTTTTTTCTGCAGTTGTTTGGCCAAGTTTGAACACAGAACCTTTTCTTGCACAAGTAAGTGAAGCAAAGAATTAACACATGGTATCAGGGTGTTGATGTGACAGGACCATGACAGGTCCTGAGTGATGTGGACACCCAGGTATCGGAAACTGTCCACTCTCTCCACTGGCGTGCCACTGATGATGAGAGGCTTGTAATTCCTCGCCTGCTTTGTAGTGAAGTCCACGATCAGCTCCTTAGATGCTGCATTTAATGCAGCATCAAATGTTCCTCATTACTCCTTTGTGTAATGAGGAACAGAAGCACCATGCCGATTGACTGAGATTTGCCAGAACACCCAACTTTGCTAGTCTGTTACTGGTGCCCTATTCTCTTCACAGAGAGAGAAGAAAGCGCTTGAAGGTGCTGTGGCGAATTTTATGATGCTGCCTGCAAAAGATCTGGAATGACCAGTTATGCAGTGCTATCCAAAGATACCCTGAGCGCTGTTAGTTATGTTGAATCCTGAGACGCTGTGCTGGTGTAGTGGCCTTGGGGTTTTTCTTTTGTTTGTGTGTGTGTTTTTTTGGTTTTTTTTTACAATGGGTGGCCTCATGTGACCAGAGTGCTCAAGTAGTTTTAAAGTCCAGTTAAAGGCATTTATTTTCCCCCAGTCTGAATCATCTGGGACATTATGTGTTGGTGTATCTTGCACCACCTAAATAGCATCCAAGAGCCCCCTGATCACTAGAGTAAAATCAGTCATGTAGGATGAGGAGAGAGCAATGGTCTGTGGTCACCACCTGTACCGCCTCTTGTTTTTGTTAATTGATTGATGGACTTATGCTTCTTAATTGGCCAGGTTTGCTTAAGATTTATAAGCAGTGGACAAAAACCAGGTGTTACACCTTCAAAGAACATCATTAGTAAACAGCCACCAAATCAATAAAGACTCGGGCTTTATAACTCACTCCCATTCAAGGCTAGTAGGTTACTTAATGTGGCAGATATGCCATGTAAATGTGGAGGAGTGAAATGGTGTAGGGCCTTGTTTGGATGTGGGCCATAGACAGCAAAGGCTGCACTGGCATGTTTGTTCCTCGACTGAGACGAGTAAAATGAAGACAATGGTTTTTCTGAGAAACAGATAAGGAGTTGTGGATGCTGATGTTCTCCCATCCACCCCTCATGCTCAAAAACAACCTGTGAGAACAAGCAAACAAAATAACAAAGCAGAAAAAAAATGCGGCTCAAGCACACATAAATAAGAAGGTGCACGGTGCCATTATTTATGTGCTAATACTCCTTCATTCTTACAAATTCAGACAAACATGTTGTGAACTATGGCTAGGCAACAAATAAAGTCTTATAATGCTCAGAAATCAGTCATGTTGGTTATAAAGTTTACTCTTTTCTTGCAGGATAACACTTGCGTTGGGTTGCACTTTGATATTAATTGACATAATGTGGACTCTAACTTTTATCGGCTGTCACTCTACTTTCCAAGGTAATTGCTCTGTTCTCGGAGTACAGTGGCAGAAAATCAATAGTGGGAGCAGCAAAAGCAGTCAGACAGTTAGAAAGGGCACCAAGATGCCATGCTCTCAAACTTTGTAATTTCACTTGGTGAGTACTATGATATTGTTAGTGACAGGAATGAAAATAAGCCCTGTGCTCTAATAGGCAAGACTCGTCCTTTAGACTCATTGATTACCTCTCATTCTTCTGTCCTGAGGTGATCTTTAATGGACAACAGTTTCTCAGTGATTTTGCTGACAGCACTCTTTCAACACCCGCTGGATGGTGTCAAGAAAAGACATGGTCATCAGGATAAAATTCAGTTTTCTTTTTTTTTTCTTAGTTCCTCTAAAGTTCCCATTTTTTAATGACTTTCCTCAAACTACATACATTTACTTCACCTCTTCTTTCTTCTAAAACATGACATTTCCAGTTTTGTTGTAATGATTTAGTTCTGTTCTCTTCTCAAAGTCATGACCCCGTGGTTTGGTCCAGCAGCCAACAGGCATCTAGGTGCGATGTTGTGTGGTGGAGAGAACCAGTGAGGGTGAGCCAAAGTTCAGCCGGGTCACCGGGGCCAGATAGACTCTCTGCTGCCGGTGCGCTCTGATGTGTGTACGCACACGCAGGACCGGGCATGTGCGCGTGGCCGCCTGTCATGCCTGCGGTGTCCCTCTGACGACTGTGTGTGATTATGTTCATGTGTTGTGAAACAAATGGAGAGTGTGTCTCCTCGCACGTTGTCCCCATGCTAGCGGCTTAATGAGCTGGTAGCTGGCAGCCAATCACGGTCACCGGCAACCTCCGAGGTCGCACCAAGGCGTCGTGTGTAAACAGCGCAGCGGTCACTCCCACGTTTGACACACTCCTGACAAGATGCGCGCACGCACACACACACTTTATCTAGAGGTCACGGTGGTTAGGGCACAGTTTTAGCAGAAAAACATGCACAGATGATTACATGCAGACAGTATACACATGAGTAGACACACCTTCCTGACGCACCACTATGTGTGTTTGCGTTGTGTGCGCCATTACTGTATCTGAGGCGAGAAGGGACACAGACAGCAGGTTTCATTGCATGTGACTCAGAGAGAGTCTGTCCCAGCTGACTGCACTTGCTAAAAAGATTTACACACATTTGTTTGTGTATAAATATCTACAGGAAGAGTGTTTAACCTCGAATGCCCACACTCTTTCATGGCATGCATTTTCATTTCTCTTTGCTATTTGGGCTGATTGGGACCTGATGAATGTAAAAACAAAGAATCAGTGATGTTTTTTTTGTTTGTTTTTTTACCTGATTTTGGTTTCTGAGAAAAATTAGATCCACATATGAGGACATTCGCTTTAAGTTTCGATAGAAGAGTGGCAGTATAACCTCCTTGTAAGCGGATATCAGGCCCTTAAAGAGGGCCTGATATCAGTTTCAGTATTTTGGTCTAGACAACACAAAATGTGATGTCCACATACGTGGACGCCAGGTAGGAGTGCATACATATCTGTAGCGCGAGGAGAGGAGAAATTAAAGACACACACACAAAAAATAAAAAATTAAATAAATCAGAAAGAAATTCACCTGAAATCCACAGGCTGAATGAGGGGAATACACAAACCAGTACATCAGGGATTCTGCTTGCTTGCAGTAAGATTAACAGTAAATATTTGTGGGCTGTGGAAAAGGGTAGCTGTGTGTAATTTTATTCAGAATGTGGAATATAAACAAACAAGTTATGCAACTTTTACACGATGAAAGTAAATACACGATGGTGATTATCTGGGTCACTCTTCTCTGCAATCATCTCTGCCTGACCAAAATTCAGGACAGTAAGAACTACGCTCCCATGATCGCTGAAGTTTCACATGATATTTTCATTCCCATGAAGTCAAAAGTTGCTGTTTTGTCAAAGCTGCTTGCTTAAATATGCACAAGCCAAACCAAGTGTAGTAGATTTTAGCATCTAAACCTAAGTAGTGAAGAGAGTGAAACAGTAGGTGAAACAGTCTCTTGGGTGACATACTTGTGATACCAATTATGTCACGACAATTATCACTCTGACACAGAGTTTATATTATACTCTATACTTTATGCTAGCAGACAGCAGTCCAGGGATGTCTGTGTGCAGACAGCTCTGTTGCCAGAGGGGACAGTGTACAAAACATGTGGTACACTGGTCTGTGGGGCACTCGTGCTTGTGTTGTTGTTGGTCCATCAGCCAGCCACAGAGAAGAGCAAAGTTAGAACATACAAATACATTTCCTGTAAACTCTGCTGTCACTTCATTTCCTTTTCCAATCAGCATTTCACAGATGGACATGCCATCTGTGCTGTCAGGATCTTTGATGATGTAAATTGTAAATTGTGCTTGAGACCCCACTTTGTAACCTGACGTGCACCTCCTTGGAAATGTCACCACATTGCGTGTAGTGATTGGCCTATTCAGTACCATCAGTGCCTCCTAAACTCATCCAGTTAAAATTTTCACAACAGTTTAAAAATAGAAAAAAAAAATTACCATTGCTCAATACAAGTACTAACACATGCCAGCAAATTCCTGGAGAGAAATTGCTGAAACCACCAGAATGGTTGTGAGGGAAAGAAGTGAAAACATTTGAGAACTTAGTTTGCCACAAAAAGAGAAATAGTGGAGACCCAGGAGGAAAAAAAACTCCCAGCATTTTCTTTGATTCTATTATGGCTAGCATTGCATATAAAACACTTGCATAATGCACAAGGTTGACTCCTGGCGAGTGCATTGGCCACTTGCGTAGATTATATCTGGCTCTACAAAGATTTACTGCAGAAGTCTAAATCAGACATAAGCATGGGATTATACTATCTTGTGCACATGCACGTGGACAGCTGTGGACGGCAGATTTCCTAGTCCACTTGGAGGAGGCATGGGTAGCTTTCTGCTGTTGCACTGTGGCATCTTTGTGGTTTCCTTTATCATTATGTGTACTTTGAAGGTAATGTATGAAGGTACCATTACAAAGGTACATCTCCTGTTTGTCTCTGTGATGACAGCATCTGACTGAATAGCAGCGCCTGACCATTGAAATTCATACAGTTTGCCAAATGATCAAGCTTTATTTAAGCTGGCAGCAATAAAATTACGCTTTTAGTCATGTCGGCCTATTGAAAATAAACTCAAACAACTGAAATCAAAATCTAAAATGTCTTGCACAAAACAGGTAAAGGTGCATTTAAGGATTTAAAGCTTAAACAGTTATCCCTAAAGGACCAATAGCAAGAATTACAGGAATGGCAGCAGAAGTAATGTGAAGGAGTGCTTGATACACTGTTTCTCCTACATCCTGGCAGTGATTTGGGTTATTTCGCAGCAGACAGATGTCAGGATTTCAGGGAAGAAGAAGGAGGAGATGTCATCTGCTCACAATGATGTAACAATAGTTAATTGGGTGCTGTTTTGAATTTGCATTGTCTACTTGCAAAACACATCCTGTGAGTGATCATCATAAGAACTCTGATTTAGTTTGTTCGTCAGGCAGACTTTCAGTAAACGGCAGGTCAGAAATTTTTGCTCAGTCTGCCTCTCATTGTGACAGACT